ACTGGTTTTAAATGGGTAAATTACGAGGTACATGAATTATATTTCATTTAACAGATTCTTTAGAAGGCAGACTGTTGCTGGATTATAAATGATGTAAGAGTGAGTTAAATATCAAGGGGATCTTCAAAAGATGGGCTTGGTGCTTGCTCCAAATTCTGGATTTGTCTTCATACTATCATGGTCTAGACCAAATAAGCTTACATTCTAACACAGAGACTTTCAGAGCTAGGGAGCTAAGCCCAGTAACAGAGCAGATACCTATCAAATGTAAGGGCCTGGGCTAATAATGTCCAGCACTTCAACTTCCCACACCTGACCAGGGGATCAAGCACAAGGTTTTGCAACACACAGTGTTATTATACATATGCTAGGAAAGTGATGGGTTAAAATTTTAGTGCTTTCCATTCTGAGTTAATATTCCTAATATTATAGCAGGGTAAATATAAAAAAGCCCAATTTAGGATTTTGTTTAAGAGGATTGGCTTGGGTTTTTTGGGGGGAGGGGCCCATATAAGAATGGCACTGGGGGCTGGAGAGATGGCTCAGCAGTTAACAGCACTGACTGTTCTTGCAGAGGACCCGGGTTAGATTCCCAATACCCACATTGCGGCTACAAACAGTCCTTAACTACAGTTCTAAGGGAATCCGAAGACCTCTTCTCATCTCCACGGCATTGCACGACATGGGTGCACTCACATACATGCAGTCATTACACTCATACACATGAAATGAAAATAATAAAATATTAAAAAAAGCACTGATATTTTCTATAATGCAAACACTGTACACTTGGAATGTATTTTTTGCTTTCATTTCTATAAAACCACTGTCAACTGTAGAATTCTTGGCTTGTATATTAAAGCCCTTTTGACAAATGTTTGTTGGCACATATTTAAATATCTATTATTTTTATTTTATGTGTACGAGTATATTGCCTACAAGTATGTAAGAGTACCCGTGTTGTGCAATGCCTGCAGAGGTCAAAAGAGAGTACTGGATCCCCTGGAACTAGAGTTATGGACAGTTGTTGGCTGCCATGTGGATGCTGGGAACTGAACCCAGGTCCTCTCTAAGAGCTGCCAGTACTGTTAACTGCTGAGCCATCTCTCCAGCCCACTAATACTTATTTAAAAGCAAATGGCAATGAAATTTCAGTAGCTCCTGGAAATCAGATTATCAAAATATAAACTCTTCTCCATTTTACAATACTATACATTTTACAGCCATAGATAAAGTACTTCCGCTAGTAAATTTGTCTCGGTCCTAGGGTTCAGCAGATTTTGAAGTGGGTAGCCTAGGTAATAAAATATCTGGAATTTACACACACCAACAATTAGGTAAATCATCCATCAGACCCAAAAGTCCTGCATCATAGGTAATTCAGACAAATCAATTTAACAATAAAGACCAGGAAATAAAGTACTTAATTTTGAAATGTACTATTCTCAAAATTCCAAGTAAACTTCAAACACATATATCCGAGCCCTTAACAATGGTTTCGATTCATAAGTGCCAAGACAGGGGATTAGTGTTTAATTTGAGCTAACAGGCTTCTGCTAGCTGTTTTCAATTCACCCTCACACTACCACCCCCCCAATTCTATCCACTTTCCTTCAAACCAGCTTAATCCTGTTATATTGTACAACATATCTTTAACTATCAAATTTATTTTTGATTACCAACCCCAAATAAATACCAGATACTGTATCAATAACAAAGCAAACAAATGCAGAGTCCAGCAGCTAAAAGATTTAATTAAGAGGATCAGTGGAAAATGTGAAGCAGACTCCCCGACACTGTTGAAATCCCAGTAGCTTTGAAAACTATTATTACAGGAAGCAACATCCTGCCTCCCTAAATGAAACCACCTAGGCCTCTTATCTATCTTTGTCTTCCTGGACCAGGACCATTCACTCTGGCTGTAACTGAAAGGATCCACACTCCCCCTCCCCTTCACTGTGTCATTAAATGCCTTGGTAAGTGGGGAAGGTACAGATATGAATTTTTATCATTCTCAATCTACCCAGTTGTTAAAGTTCAGTCTTGGTCCAGTCTGGAAGTGGTGATTCAGAGCCTTGAAGGCTATCAAGGTTTGAATTCTACCTCTACTATGCAACAGTTGGGTCACCCTGGAGGAGTCTAGGCCTCTCTCTGTGTGCCCCCTTCCTAACCTGGACACTAGAGATAAAGGTATTTTCTACTGGGTTACTGAGAAATTACTTATCTGAAGCAATTATCATATTGCTTGACTTGCAAAAAGTGCCCAATTATCTAAGTACCAAATTCCTCCTTTGTCCTCAACCTAACCTAGGTTCAAGGAAAAATTAAGGAGATATTTATGCAAATTTTGCTTTTAAATGCCTTTTCTCCTGCAGCTCTTGGGTATAACTCATCCGAAATAAAAAGAAATATGGAGATATCCCATGCCTCTGTCTTCAACTCCTCCTGTAATCCTAAAAGTCATTTTGTTCCCCTAGCGTTGTTTTCAAGTACTCTAGTTAATAAAAACCAAATTTTAAATGATCCTAGTTATTTTCAAGACAGAAAGACTGACGTAATTGTGCGTTTATCCACCTACATGTGGCTTCTGTAATGTCTCAAGAGATTTTTCACATATCTAAAAAGTCAAGTTGTTCTTGCATTCATTCTGGATGATAAACCGGTCCATTTTTTGTGACTTATTTTTTTAAATATTTTATTATTTTTATGTGTATGAGTATATTGCCTGCATGTGAGTGCACCCATGTAGTGCAATGCCGCACAGATGAGAAGAGGGTGTCGGATTCCCCTGGAACTGGAGTTAAGGTCGGTTCATAGCCACCATGTGGGTGCTGGGAATCGAACCTGGGTCCTCTGCAAGAGCAGGCAGTGCTCTTAACTGCTGAGCCATGTCTCAAGCCCCCATTTTTTGTGACTTTCAAAAATAATCTCATTGGTCTAGTCCAAGAGCAACTCCATCTCCCATCGTCAAAAGTACTTTATCTTTCAAAGACACCGGAGAAGGAGAGTGAGTAATAACGGATGGTTCTTTCCATCCAATGGAGATACAGAATCCTACCCTGGGTTTCTTTACTGTCATCCACACATAGTAAAAACCTGTATCCTACTACCACTTCACAATGAGTTAGTTTCTCTAACCATTTGTTCAAATCTTTAACTCAATTCAAATCCTTCGACTATCAAATAATGATTTTAATACGAATCACAAATATGAAATAGATTCTAAGCTTTACTTCATTTTTGTCACTTCAAATATTTGAACTGATGTCTGGAAATAACTACAAATGGACTTACTTTTATCAAACAATTGAAAATTTCACACATAAGGGAAATCAGAACATATGCATTTTTGTACATGAAATGCTATGCTGTAAAGAGAAATACTTAAAATCCAAAGTTCATTTGCATCATGTATCCTTTGGCCAAACGAGCATTCCTTTAGATTACTAATGAACAGCAGAAAATCAGAAGTTTACTTATTTATCCTAATGAAAACCAGGATGAAATAACTGCAATCATTTCTAGGGTCAAGTACAAAGGGTAGAGGACAGTAAATGTAATGTGTTGTCAGTAACTTAAAGGCTTACACTAGGACCTTCGAAATCAGCCTAAAACTTTACATTTAAATAAATTTAACTGTTCTACTAAGTTATACATTCCCTTGAACTAATTTTTTCCCCTAAAACCCCAATTTTGGGAGGACAAGGACAACATAAGTACTTATTTAAAAGTTCCTGAAGTTCGAACAGAAACTGATTTTCACATATAACAATTTATAAAACTTGTTAAAGTGTTATGAAGCTCAAGTGTCTCACCCTCTGTCCTCACAAACGCGAGGCAACATACTAAAGGACTGAGGAGTTAAATTCTCAAACAGCAAAAGAAAAATATTAAGGGCGCTGAAAGTAAACTCAGTAGTAACAGCACAAAAGCGACAGAACTGCTAATCTACAACTCTTACCCTGATAGCAAAGAGCAGAATATCCTGCTTTATGCATTTTTGGAATTGTAATTCTGTAATGCTAAATCCAAAGACAACGCCGCCCAGGGGAAAATAACAATTGCGCAACAGATCAACAGCTCCAACTTGTCCCTTGGCCCCAGTGCGGCGAGGTTTGCACGCTATAAAGCAGGAAAGGGCCAACTGAGGGCCGCCGTGACTGCCAACGAGCCACTGTCACTGAGGCAGAAGCCACGGCCACGCACAGTGTGCCTCACCGCGAGTCGCAGCGCGCAGCGGACTCCGATCTACCTCCGCCGCCAAAGTTCGCGCTTCCTGCCCCGGGGCGAAGGGCCATCCCTGGTCCCCAACCCAAACCACTCCCCTGGCCAGAGGAAGCGCGCGGAGCCGGCCGAGCCGCCGCCCGTCGGGGCATCTGAGCGCACCGGCCACTCGGTGACTTTCTCCTCCGCCCCCGGAGGGCTGGGCTTTGGAGCCCGCTGGTTCAGCGTGATCCCACAGACGAGCGGCTCGGTGGCTGAGAAGGTCCACGGCCCGCTAAGCGGGCGACACCCGCGGAGGTAGCGCCCCGGGGGCGGGGGCCGCCGAGAAGGGGCTCGGAGGCTAGGCGCGGAGCAGACCTCAGCTCCCCCGAGAGCGGCCCCGTGACTAGGCACATTTTTGCCGGCTCCGAGTCTGGGAAGCCGCGCAGCCCCGGAAAGGGCCGGGCCCGGCCGGCTGAGACCGCCAGCGTCCGCCCCCTCCCGCCCCGGGGCCCAGGCCGCGGCTGGGGCTCTCAGCTTCGGGCGCGAGAGACTGCTGGAGACGCAGCCCGAGCCCGAGCCTCGCCCCACGCCCAGGTCGGGCGCTCCCGGGAGCCTCAGGCTCGTTGACGGCCGGGCCGCGGGCGCCAGCCCCCTTCACCTCACCGCCTCTCTCCCGGCCCAGCCCCGGCCCCTGCAGTCCCAGCTCTGACGCTCCCTCCCTCCTGGGGCCACGTCCCCTCGCGCGGCTACCCGCGTCCCGGAACCGCGGTGAAGCTCGAGGGCCTGGGCAGCACCTGCTGGGACTGTAGTCCGGGCGGCGGCAACTCCAAGTCCATCATGCTGAATGCGGACGCTGCGCTGGAGCTCCCCGACGGCGACGCTCTCCCGGAAGCCCAGGCGCGACAGCGACCGTAGCTTCTCCCGGCTTCCCGGGACTAGCACTTCGGCTACTAGCCGGAGTAACCAGCCAGCCGCGGTCCCGCTCCGCCCCCGCCCTCTGGGGGCGGGACTAGAGCCCGGGACCCGGCGAGAGCTTAGGGGCGAGGCAAGAGCCTGAGAGCCTGCTGGGGTGTGAGGTGAGACCAGAGCTTGGGGCGGGGCAAGAGCCTGGGGGCGGGGCAAGGGCTAGAGGCGGGACAAGGGCCTGGGGCGGGGCAAGAGTCTGAAGGCGGGGCAAGGGCTTGGGGCGGGGCAGAGGTGGGACCGGGGCCTGGGGGAGCCGGAACCCGAGGTGGAGCACTGGCCTGGGAAGGGGGCAAGTGCCTGGGGTGGCGGGGCAAGAACTTGGGGACCCAGCAAGAGCCTGAAAATGAGGCGGGAGCGTGGGCGCGTCCTGAAGGGGCTTTCCGCTTTCCTGCCCCAGCGAACGCTGGCCTCTCTGCAGTCCGAGGCGCCGCAAGGTGCGGTGGGCTGCGGTCCCATGGGGTGGGGTACGAGCGGGAGGCCCTGGGCTCCCCGCGCCCTCCCAAGGACAGCGCTCCCCTGCTAGAGATTAGCAGTTGTTTGCCGAAGGTCGCTCGGCCCGGGGCGCTTTGAACAGTTTAAACAGTTGGAGCAAACACGCCCGGAGCCCCAGTGCTATCGGAGCTGCGCCTCCCTGATTTGGACTTGCAGAACCTTGCCCGCTTTATCTCACCCCTGCGGCGGAGAGTGGCGCCAGCCCGGGGGTGGAGGTTCTGGGCTGGGATCCGGGCAGTGCACGCCGCCAACTGCTCCCTGTCCCTGGGACCCACTGAACTTAGGGCCCGAGAGCACTGCCCCTGGGAGACGCGCCCAAGCTGCGAGCTCCTGCTCAATCCTCCGAAGGCCCCCTTTCTCCCACGTGCTCCCCTCGTTGCGGAGGGAGGAGTCTGCAGGCCTGTCAGGGTCACCCACACGAAGCTCACACACCACAAACTGCATCCTTCACTAGTGTGGAATACAGCAATATACGCGTTTCCTTTTCGTGTACTCACAATATAGGTTCCCTCTGCCCCCACCGCCAGTGTTTTATTTTGGATTTTTAAGACGTGGTCGCAGGTCGCCCAGGGTGTCCTTGAACTCCTGATCCTCTTGCCTCCACCTCCCAAATGCTGGTGTTTGTTACAGGCTGTGCTATCAGATCTGGCTGGTGGCGGTGGTGATTGTTTTTACAAGATTCATCCCCAGTACACTCCCCTTGCCCTCTCCCCTCAAAAATGTGATGCATAAAACAGTTGTTGTGAGCTTAGAAAATAAAGTTGAAGGATGCTCGCTGTTTTAATGATTGTAAAACTATAAGGATTATTTGTATCTACCTCTTGTTTTAAATACTGAAGTCTACAACGAATATATCTAAAATTAAAATGTAATTTTAAAAGAATTGCTCACAAAAACGTTAAGAATTTCAAAATATGGGGGGTGGAGAGATGGCTCAACAGTTAAGAACAATGGTTGTTCTTGCAGAAGACCCGGGTTCAAATCCCAGCACCCACATGGCACCTAACAACTGTTGGTAACTCCAGTCCCAGGGGCTCCAACAGCCTCTTCTGACATCCGTGGGCATTGCACGACACGGGTGCACTTACCTACTACATGCAGGCAACACATGCATACACATAAAATAAAAATAATAAATAAAATAAAAAAGAATTTCAGAATATATTGTGATCTAAGTTTTTAAAAAGGATAGGGTTTGTGTTTTCTCTGTGCATTAATAATCTTTCTAATTCTTTAATGTGGCTTACAATTCTTAGCTTGTTGGAATTATTCAAAACCAACTGAAGCTCATAGTAATTTTACTATTTCATTCAAAAACCAGAGAGAGAGAGAGAGAGAGAGAGAGAGAGAGCTGACTATAGCGGATCAACTACTACAAAAAAAAAAACAAAAACTGCAAAGAACTCACTTTCTTTTGGTTACATAATTTGACACTCCCAGGATTTCTGTGTAAACTTTTATGTTCAAATATTCCTTGAGATAAATAGAGCCTAAATTAATTACTTGTAATTGAAGCAAACCTCTTCAACTTGAATTAAACCTTTCATCTGTTAGATGAAAAGCCTGCAAAATGATCTGCACATTGAAAACAAGCTTGTTTAGAAAGATTCTGACATGAAAGAGGGAGAGACATAATAGTGAAATTACATTTCTGCGTCAAAGAAGGAGGCAAGATAGCATTAGCTCTTCAGGTTATTTATTGGAACGACTACATCTGAGAAGACAATGAGGCCAGGAGGTAGAAGATGCCAAAGTCCTGACATAGTTATTGCCTTGAAGGAGTTTATAAAGTATTTGCATTTCCTTGTTAAGCAACATTTCCATTGAGTTTGGCTGAGTGAAATAACCATTACCTTTACAAAACTGCAGTTTTCTGAGTGTATATTATTTCAGGCACCTGCAGAGTGCATATTTTCAAAGGGAGGAGAGCAGTATGATCAGAGCCCGAACATGTTAAAGAAAGGAAACTAAACACAGGTAAAACTCTTTGGCATTGAATGGTGGGTTCAGCTTAAGAAAATGGAACCTCTGTCTCAGACCACCCAAGTCAAGGAGGTTCCTAATCTTGGCAGACACTGAAATACAATTGTCCTTATGTGAAAGGCCAAGCGTGGCCCTGCCCTGTAAACTTTCACTTTGTGCCATGGGAGCAATAATGCTGCTTGCTGAGAAGATGAGGGAGCAGGAAAGCAGATGTGCTGGTTTTCCCCTCCTGGTCTGGTGCCAGGGGAGCCCCTTTACTGCCAGGCTCTCAATTTTTTTCCTTTTTTTAGGGGGACAGTGCTGGGATCTAGCCCAGGGCCTTTACATATTAGGCAAGAGCTCTGTCACTGAGCACCTCTACTGTTTCATCTCCCCCCACAGATAGCAGACGACTATTCTACTCGTTTCAGCCTAGTCAACCCAAATTACATAAATTACTTTCAATCACCAAGTTTGAAAGTCGTTTGTTTCCTAACAGTAGATAATCAAAAAGGACATACATCGAGCCTCAGCAGCAGACTGTCCTGTATGCCTTGTTTGTTTACCATTACTAAAAGCACATATAAGGACTCTACTTAGTGATTATTTTAAATAAGAGCCTCAGACCTCAGAAGCCAATTGACTTCTCTGGGAATGAGGAAGGTATCTTTCCCATAATAATTGCTTGTTGCTACTTACAAAGTAAATGACCTCATCACACAATGCATCTATTTCAGACCATTAGATAGATGCTGGTGAGATACCCTCATTAAAATACACTCAGAGAGCACAAGACATCTCATCAGCTAAATAGATGGTAGTATAAATGCATACAGAGTTTCTGACCCTGACATGACCTCATTTATACCAGTTATATAAGATGCTTGCTGAATAGCTGCTAAGGGTATTTGAACTTGAGGAGCGACCTGCCCAGTGGATAAACTGAACTCCAGCACAGCAGTGTTCGAAATAATTGGTGTGTTAATTTCAAAACACACCTGTAACCTTGGTTCTCTGGTTTGGACACCTCACTATGCAAACTTCAGGTACAAAGAACTGTACCTCTCCAAATCCAGTTTTAACTAGTGTTGTTTTCCTGTTCCTGATAGAAACAGTGCTCTGTAGGAGGAGGGTGCAGGGAGGAAAGGAAAAAAACCCAGAGGTTTGAAGAGTTCTTTTGAGTTCATATCTCTATAAAATATATGTAAATGGGAAAAGAACTGAATGAACATGCTCCACAATGTCAACCAGCTAATCCAGTCAGATGGAGACTAGTGGTTTTATTCTTCTCATTTTTGCCTGTCTGTATTTTCCTATATGAGAAATACATTACTTTAAAAACTATTTTTATTACTTTTTTATTTTATATGTATGAGTGTATTGCTTGCATGTAGGTAGGTGCACCTGTGCCGTGCAATGCCTGCGGAGGTCGGAAGAGGGCATTGGATCCCCTGGAACTGGAGTTACAGACAGTTGTTAGCTGCCATGTGAGTGCTGGGAATCGAATCTGGGTCCTCTGCAAGAGCAGCCAGTGCTCTTAACGGCTGAGCCATCTCTCATGCCCAGAAATACATTACTTTTAAAAGAAAAGTGATAAAAGGAAGGTGGAGGTGAGCTACAAAGATGAGGAGCGTAATACTTTTTCCATAAGCCACTGAATCCATTTTATTTTCAAACTGAATTTTAACTACAGGGCTTACAGATATATTCATTTTTATTTACTTGAGTAGAGCTTGGAAAAATGGACTGTATCTTGAGGTATGGTTGTGTTAAGGTCTAAAGATCCTTTTCTCTTTCAATATACTGCTATATTTGTAAAGTTTTGCTCAGCAGGAGTTCACAACAATGGAACTTTATGAGTAGAGACAAAAAATTGTATTTTCGGAGTGAAGTGCAAAACTTCCCATATCTCACACTGCTGTGTAGGGACAATAAATGAAACACAGAGGCCCAAACCTAGGCCCACAATGCTGATCTGCAAGTAATAATGAGGTAGAATATGAAATACTTTTCATTTTCATATTTTTTCTTTAAAAAAATTTAAAATTACATTTATTTATTTTGTGTGTATGTGCATGTGTGTGCCATGGTACATGTATAGAGGTCAGAGGGCAACTTGTGGGGATTGGTTTTCTTCTTCGCCCTCAGGGGTCCCAGGGATGGAACTCAAGTCATCAGCATGATAGCAAGCACCTTTATGTGCTTACCTGATGGAACATCTTACAGGCCTTTCTTTTGTATTTTTCTATGTTCAAATCTTTTTATTCTTTTGGTCTTTTGGTTCTGTAGCCCCAGCTGGCCTGGAACTCACTATGTAGACCAGGCTGGCCTTAAACTCACAGAGATCCACCTGCCTCTGCCTCCCGAGTGCTGAGATTAAAGGCATGTGCCACCACTCCCAGCTCTGTTCAAATTTTTACTGAAAATATTTTTAGAATTAAGGGAAAAGTAATTCAACTGTTTTCATTTTGGACAAACAAAAGTCTGAATGCAGTGAATGGAAGAACAATTTGGACAAACAAAAGTCTGAATGCAGTGAATGGAAGAACAACACATCCTGGTAGACAGGACTTGAAGATAAAAGCCTGTGCCATTCTCAAACGTGGAAAGGAAGTCATATTTGCTGGAGATTTTTCTC